ACAGAGATTTAAACGATAATTCAAAGTTTAAGCCAAAGCTCATTTATGCCCTATTAGGGTCACAGTTGCAGAGGCCAAATTTCACAGCAGCGAGAGGAAAGAGAAGAAACAGATATTCAGCACAACTAACACAATTAATTGGTCAGCTAACTCATCCATGAGTTGCTTTGAATGAGAGAATTCTGATGGAATCCTTTTACTTATAAAACCACTGATTCTCTTTCCTCAATGCTTGTAAGGAAAGACAGATATGAAAAAGCATTCCTGATGACATCCACATGTTCACGTGCCTTCCAGTATGGTGAGAAATGCATGTGAGCAATTCCTTATGGCAGCTTTCACAGAGTTCCCAGACACAAAAGCAACCTGAAGGCAACCACATAGCCCAGGGGCATGGTCTCTCCTTGTGCTGAGGGTCAATTCATCCATTTATCTCAGCACTGGCTGAAAATCCACTCTGTTTGTATCCTGAAGAAATGTTGAATAACCACTCATTTCCAGGCTGCTGCCTGAAAGCATAGCAGGGCTCTCTTATTTCAGTTGGATGAAATGTTTTTAGGAGAAATTTCTCTGACAATCTGTGTTTATCACCCTTCTGTTACATGATACACAGTCTTTTCAGCATTACTCAGTCAGGGCTAATTTAATCTTCACTGCAAACCTTTATATTTAAGTCATTTATATCTCATTTTTGGATAATCCAAATGAATTTCAAACCAGGTGTTGCAGCAGTTTTTATTATTACATGCAGCAGAATTATTATCGCATGGGCAGCTTGTGTGTGGGAGAATATTTCATTATCACTTTAGCTTCTTTGTTCCCTCAAGACAAAGAATGGAGAGGTCAGGCTATCCCAGTGTCCTCTGAGAGATGTTAGAAGCAAAGATTCTGCTGAGCTGCCCTTACTCAGGTGCACGGCAGCAGGTTGCCAAGACAAAATATTTTGCTTCGCCTTTTTAGTATATGCAGGCAGTGGTCTGGGAAGGCTCAAAAATGCTTCAGGGGACTTTGTGACTTTTTTCTTTACATGAAACTTGTCAGAAATAATGGTCTTTTAGGAAAACAGGATAACCTTGATTGGATATTGACTCCTATTTTACGGTTGTGTAGGGCAGTAATTTCTAGCTGCATGTTGTCACATGAAAAAACACTCAAAAGCCAAAGTTATCGCAAGGGTCTGTTAACTCCCCATGACTAAGAAGCTGGTTTTTTTCGTGCTATGCTGCCACAGTGACTGCCTCTGCACAGTCAGAATTGAAGGAGAATGGACTTCACCTTGACAAAGGCAGCTTGAATCTACTGATGCTGTGAAAACTTCTCTGAGTATCCATTTTTCTGCATCAGGCTGCCTTCATGCATGGTCTCAGTCTGTCAGTGTTGCTTGACACCGGAGTCTGGAGAAGACTGCTGACATCAGCTGCACAGAAAGCAATAGTGTAAGTAATGCACACAGGCATCTGTTCCATTCTGTTGCTTGTCTCAAGAGAGAGGATTCTTGAAAGTCCAGAACATGCTGTCTATGAGTTCAGCATGATTGCAAGCACCATAGGAAGATTCTGAAAAAGAAAAATATCATAGTTTTAATAGAAGACTAATATGGTTGTTGAAGGAAGGGGGGGATCTCATCTCTCCTTAAACCATAATGGTTACAAAATGTGAGACTCTCGTTTCCCTAAATTACTTCTTACTAAGGCACTTCAGTGCACTAATCTCGGCAAATAGCCATCCCATTGTAGCTTCTCTCTAGGCATCCACTAAGCTAGCCTCCCATTCCCATGCTGAAAGAAGAAGTGGCTGCCACTGACTGCTGAATTATAGGCTCTGGCGTTGCCAGGATGACATTTCATAACAACAAAAATATTAACAAACAAACAGAAGGAAAGCAACTGAGAAAGCATCTGAGGGGAATAGGATGTGTTTTCCTTCCAACTGCTGCACATGTGACAGCATGATACCCTCTAAGACGGCATGAGCTGGAGATGGTGCCAACACACAGCAATGAGCCACCTACCACTTCTCATGGAACTAGAGGCAAGCAGGATCCTCTCCAATCATCTAGCAATATCGCCAGCCCAGAGATTTGAGCCTCAGTTTAATTTTAGCAGCTGCTGGCAATCAGGACGTGTGGGCAGTTGCACACTGTGCATGCCAATGTCACATAATGGTCTTGGCCAGTCCTTCCCTTCACTTTCCAAATTGCAGTTCAAGTAAACTAATAAAGGAAAGCTTCACGTATGAGAGCTGAGGTTACCCCACAGCTTCAGTCCTGTGTCATGTCTCAGGCACTGATCCCAGTGACAGTGGCAAACCCAAGCCAAGCAGGGCCTGTCGCTCATCCTGTGTGTTTATATGCTTCTATCCCCATACAAACTTCTCCACTGAGTCTGTGCAACAGCTAACAGGACACATAATTAAAAGGATCACAAAACTAATCCAGCTGAAAAATAACCCTAACAAAATATACTGTGAGGGTTATTTTAAATAGTGTATCAATTCTGTGCAAATACCAGGCATGCCTACTTGAATATTATGGCATATATAGTTGCCTTATATATGCTTTTATGCATGTAAACTTTTAATATATCTACTGCAAAACATCGAAACTTGACATTTCTAATTCAGATGAGTTTATTACTGTGGTTTCACTGAAGTACAACAATAAAACCCCACTTCACAGAGCCTCTGCCATGCATTCTGCTAGTTCTTATTGCCCCTTTCATTGCTGGGACCCCAGTTCTGTCACCTTAGAAGACAGCAGACTACACACCGTAGTCAGGACAGAAAATGTATTTTATAGAATCACAAAATCATTAAGGCAGGAAAAGACCTCTGAGATGACCTAGTCCAACCTTTAGCCCACCCCCACCATGCCCACTGCCCACATCCCTCAGTGCCACATCCACACGGCTCCTGAACACCTCCAGGGACAGTGACTGCACCACCTCCCTGGGCAGCCTGTGCCACTGCCTCACTACACTTGCTAAGAAGAAATTTCTCTTGATATCCAACCTGATTTAATGCAATGAGCATAAAATCTGGGCAACAGCAATGATGGCCCCCCAAACAATCAGCCTTTTGACCCTCCATCATCTGCCTGGTCTGCAACCTAATGATGAGAGAAACAGCCAGGCCAGAGTGCAAGCCCTGCTCTCAGCTGCAGTCCTGGAGCGATCTGCCCCTCCTCTCATGGCTCCCATGGCATGGCACTCACATACCACGCTGTGTGGCAGTGTAATGAAAATGACTTTTTAGTAAAAAAGGCCCTGCTTTTGAAGCCAGAGGTAAAAAGATCATAAATCTTTAGAAACAGCTCATTAGGAAGTTGGAATTAAGCACAAGTGAATAGGAATTTTAAAGATGACATCCTAATTTTTTAATTTAAATTATTGGCACTGCAATCTTCTATTAATTTCCTTCTAATTTGTGTATGGACTTAAGAGAAAATACAGCCCCCATCCATCTTGTCAGACACATTCAGGATTTTAACAGCAAGATATCGAGAGCACAAGCCCAAGGTTAGTGCAGAGAAAGCTGCAGAAGGACCCCGCTGCCATGGGAAGTCTGAGCACCTCTCATTTTGTAGCACGAGGCCCACAGATCCTTGTGACCTCACAGTTCCTTTTTTCTACATTACTTCAGCTGAAGAGCTTCAAGCACACCGCTGAAAATGTCAGAGAACAAATCAGTACTGAGAAGAGAGCGCTGCTGATGTGCACCACATCACATGCAAAGAGCGGGGCAGCGGTCCTTCCTGCAGCACTTGTGCTGGTACAAGTGCCACTGTGTGACGCTTCACCCCAGGGGAAGGGAGAAGTGCTGGGATTCTGAACTTCCTTCAAATAACTGTCCTCCCACTAGTTCAGCACAATGATCAGGAAGCATTAGAAACCATCAGAGTTGCAGGAAGGCTGTGTGGAAGGAAAGGACCTTGGTGTCCTGTTCGATGCTTGGCTCAATGTGATCAAGTAGAGTGCCCAGGTGGCCAAAGAGGCCTACGGCATCCTGGCTTGTATCAGCAATAGTTGCAGCCAGCAGCCAGCACTGATCGTCCCTCTATACTCAGCTCTGGTGAGGCCGCACCTTGAGTGCTGTTTTCAGTTTTGAGCCCCTCACTACAAGAAAGACATTGAGGCTCTGGAACGTGTCCAGAGAAGGGCAATAAAGCTGTTGAGGGGTCTGGAGAACAACTCTTATGGGGATCAGCTGAGGGAGCTGGGGTTGTTCCGTCTAAGAGAAGAGGTCCATGGGAGACCTTACCACTCACAACCTGAAAGGAGGTTGTGGTGAGGTGGGGGTCAGTCTCTTTTCAGTGATAGGATGAGAGGGAATAGCTTCAAGTTGTGCCAGGGGAGATTCGGGTTGGATGTTAGGAAAAATTTATTCTTAGGAGGAGTGGTGATGCAGTGGCACAGGCTGCCCAAGGAGGTAGTGAGGTCACTGTCCCTGGAGGTGTTCAACAGCTGTGTGGATGAGGGATGTGGTCAGTGGACATGTCATGGAAGGTGGACAGTTGGACTAGATGATCTTAGAGCCCTTTTCCAAACTTATGATTCTATGATGTCTAGATGTGACATTGCAGAAAACCACAGCACTCTTTTAGATAGGATGAGTGTAATTTTTACAGTTGCAGAAAGGCTGGATAGAACATAATCACCAGTTTATCCAGTGCATTTGTTGTTCAGTACTCTGGGAGATGGGATTTGTCTGAGGGCAGGAAGGTGAAAGCTCAATACCTACAAACACCAGGCACAGAAGGTGTGAGGAGGAAGAGGAGCAATGCAATCCACATGGAGATGTGCAAGCAGCAAACCTCAGGAGAGGTCAGGTGCAGCATTACAAATGGGCAGCTCTCTGCTGGGCTTTGTGACAAAGCTGTGAAGCAGCATGAAAAAATAAAAATCCAGTAAAAATGGATTTGTACTTTCAAGAGCAGTTGTAACAGACTCCCTGCAAAGTCAGGCCAGAGGCCGTGAGAGTGTTTTGTCACTGTAGTCCTTGCCTCCATGATGATTTGTAGCAAAACCAAGCATCTTTCTCATAGGGGAAAAAAAGCCTATGACGTGATGCTGGCCACATTTGCCAAGACTCACCATTGTTAATGACTTCCTGACTTTCAACTTGATACATCTTTTTTGCTTGCTTTCCAGCCTTCTTGTGTTCCTTTGTCCATTTGCACGTCACCTTACCAGATTTTTCTGGGCTTTGTTCTAATGTGAAATATGACCAAGTTATGTGCAAAGCATTGGCATGCATTCATCATTACCTCTTTCCCAGATTTAATTTTCTTGACTGCATTGTTCATGTTTCTTGGCTGGCAGCACCCTTACCATTACCTTTAGGCTATAAATACCCACTGATTCCCCTGAGACTTGGACCACATGGATCTTCCCCTATAAGACTGCCAAACACCCATAGCAGTGACACTTTCCCTGCTCCTTGCCTTGGCATACACACAAGCCACCCTTGTTAGCATTTTCTACTGAGAGCAGCCCCATCTTGGCCTAGTGGTTTTGAGGAATGGGTCTGCAATATCTCAGGGGTACAGCAACCCTCAGAGCATAGAGCCAATGCAAGGCAGAGCAAAAGCCCTGGCAACTGAGCAATGATGCTGCCTGTGTTGGCACACTGGGACATGCTTGCCTTACTGAGGGTGAGCCAGCCATGCTACACAGGACAATGAGGACTTTCTCCTTTTAGTAGGCTCCCATTCCTCATGGGGAGAACACAGGTTACCACACTGGTGGCTGACATCACCCACCCAGCCCCAGAGTGGCAGAGGCCAGACTGCAGTGGAGGCAATGCCATCAGACAGCATAAGCTGCCGATGAGGGCAGAACACTGAATCCTATCACCTTGGAAATGCCCCACACCACCCACAGAGTTCAGCTCTACCATATATGCATATATATTGCCTTCTTATAACCTCAGGATGTGCCCTCTCAGTTCAGAGCATCATCAAATTATATAGAGTGCTGCTGTGTTAGAATTCATTGTCAGAGTGACATCAGCTGGGAGAAGCTGGTACTGGAGCAGAGCTGCATTTCAAAGAAGTTTATATCCAACCAAAACCAAATTGCTCCCTAGTTCCAAAGCAGAACATCTCAATTCTTCCAACATCCAAAAATCCTGGGCAAATTATAACTTCTTTTAATCCAAAAGCAACCAATGACTTCTTGCTTCAAAAGAGTTACCCAGATTAATACCAAATGAAATACTTCAATTATTCATGCGAACCATAAATTCTTTATAAATTAAATTAACAAGAGAAAACTAGAGAGAAAGAGTGAAGAAAACTCTGGTGAAAGGATAGAGTTGGGTTTTTCTCTTTCAGTCATATAGAAATGAATCTTCAGCACTTGCTCTCAGGAGGTTGGAGATGGCAATTGCCTTACCGTAGGGACAGCTGGTTGGCAAAATTCTTTCATTTTTGGTCACTGTATTTTAATATTTTAAGACTATCTGTTTCTCGTTAAAAGGCAAGGCAGCTGCAACACAGTGCTAAGTGATTCAGCATATGTTTTTAATAATTTCTGTTTCTGGCTGGCAACATATTTTACACGCAAGAACATAGTATATTTCATATGATCTTGGCATAGATCAGGATTGTATTTCTTTCTGACAGATATTAACAATTGCTGTAAAGTAAATTACCTTAGATAGTTCTGGCATTTGTAGATGAGTGGAAAACATACCAAGATTTTCTTTGGAAGAAAAGCATACTTCATTTTCAAATACATGATAGTTGAGGTTGAAGAAATCCTCCGAGAGGAAGATGGGTAAAAAAAAGCCTTGGAGACTCAAAATCCATGTTGAAAGATTTGTATTTTTCTTGCAGCAGGAGGCTGTAATCTTTATGGAAATTTTTCAGCTGAAGAACTCCATACGTGCAGTTGAGCTTGTCTTTTGGGAAAAGAAGCTGCATGAACTCTTACTTAGTAATGCCTGTGGTGTATGCTCCTCTCTAATCTATTATGGATTTATTGAACCACCACAGCATTGACAGAAGGACTTTGGATTATGATTGTGTTTAGTGACTAGAGTTGTGCAGTCCCAGCAAGTGATGGGCATTTTCAGTGCCTAAGGTATGTCTTACAGAGGGAAACTGCCACCTTTTTCATACAGAAAGCTGAATACCCTAAAGGTCACAGGAAACAAAGCTTTCTAGACACAAGCTAATTTAAGAAATAGCCATGAAAAATTGGACTGCACGCAGCAAGTCTTTTGGGAGAAAGCTGAGATTCCCAGAACAACATCACTCCTGGCCTTTCCTTTGCACCAACACCCTTTGGTACAGAGACAGGTGCTGAGCTAGTGTGTTCTCTGGGACTACTGTCAGGAAATGGAGTTGTCTTTAGCTCATCCATTTCATTAAAGGAGCTTCAAGGTGATATCACAAAAGGGAAAGTGCTCAGTGGAGTAAATATCCTCAGTAATTATCAAACAATTAATTGAAGTTAGATTGAATGGAAGCTTGCTTGTTTCTTAGCAGCAAACAGCATCTGGCCAAACTTCAGTTTTGCTGCTGGTTGAAAGAAAATTATAATCAGTAGTAGCTCAAGCAATAGAAAAAGCAGAGAGCACTGCAGCACAGTTCTCTTTTGCAAGAGTTCTTCTACGATCACAAGGCCAAATACAGTTTAAAAGAAGAAATACAGATGCCCCGGTATTTAGAAGCTTTGGAAACAAAGACTTTAAATGGGCCACAGAAAATATTTAATTGGTCAGTGCTCTAATATAACACTCTGCTGGGAAGCTGACTGGTCCTGGGATGAATCTGTTACCTGGAGTTGAAAATAATTCTCCATGGGACACTTGAAGTTTAATCAGACCAGGTTTTTCAAAACCCTATGCTGAAGCCCACATAATGAGAAATGTTTCTAGCTGAATGCTGTTAAAAATGAAAGAGAGAAACTACTCTTTCTTGCCCAAGGGCGTAATGAATTTCAGTTGCTTCAGTTCTTAGATAGCAAGATATACACAAAAGCTACGCCGATGCTGTCTGGTTTATTTACATCTGAGATGTGGTGCCAGCAGGAAACACCTCCTGGCTTACAACACCAGGGCCACTTTCAGTCAGCGGTCAGCATCAGCAGCACTCCCTTCTTTTTCTCAGAGAAATTAGAAGTTTCTTGTCTTCCTTGCATTTTAGGTTTCTGGCGATGTTTGTTTCCCCCCCTGCTTGCTTGTGTGTACATTCAGTTAACGTTAGTGCTCTACCTGCATGTAAACACAGCCTATTAAATAATATTCCCATCCTCAGTGAAAATTTCAGAGTACCTTTGCACCTCTAAGGAAAATATTTTTATTTCTTCCTTCATTTTTTCTCTTCCATCTCTTAAAAAAAATAAATAAAAGCTGTATTTAAGCTTCCTCTATGGAGTAGTGAAGTCCAAAAGACACAATACTATCTGACCAAGCAAGGCTACAAGCAAAAACCCATACAACATATACAACCATAGAATCATTGAGATCGGAAAAGACCTCCAAGATCATACAGTTCAACCATCAGCCCACCCCCAAAATGCTCACAAACCACATCCCACTGCTGTATCTTGAAACCTCCAGAGATGGTGACTCCACCACCTCCCTGAGCAGCCTGTGCCACTGCTTCATCGCTCCTGAAAAGAAATTGCTCATAACACCCAACCTGAACTTCTGTACTTCAACTACTGTAGTTGAACAGTTCAGCAAATGGCTATTCCACAGCTGCTGGCTGCACCAAGACTGACTTGTGCTTTATTTTCCTACAGAGCAGGCCAATTCAGGTATGTTCTTGCTTGGGTATTCAGTCTCACAGAACTTGGAACACTTGAGGGTATTGTAACTCTTCAAATATAATTGTAGCAGGGGTGGAAAAGATAGTAGAGCAGTAAAGACAGACTTTTGTTCCTAAAAATCCTACAACAAAAGCCTTCCCCAGCTAACTTTCTCCTTTTGTTCTTACAGAGCTCACTGTAGGGCTGGTGGATTATTCCTGAGGACATGTTCAAGCTCCTGTTACAACTCTTAGTCCCATGGTGGGTATAGTTCCGGTCATATTATTAGGAAACCAAAGTCCCATTGTGTGTATATGTATTTGCACAGTTCCTGTAAAGCCCAACACTTTGGGATGCCTTAGGATGCAGAGAACATACTTCATCTGGGGAAAAAATATAAAAGGCTTTGAGTTTTCTGCAATAAAATTTTACCTTAGTTAGGATTTTTTCTAAAACAACCTTATTTTATATTTTGGTTTCAGTCCTGAAATAGTCAAAACTGTGTCTCACTGATATCTTTCCCTCTAATTAATCTAATCTCTTTCACTTTCTTGCATTTTCACATTTTCAAACCTTTCTTTTTTCATGCCCACACTTCGCAGCTTTTGCCCTTACTAGGTTGGCTGTTAGTAGTGGATTTTTTTTTTTCCCCATTACTTTTATTAATCTATTTCTTTTACGTACACTTATATCTCACTGCCTTCTATAACTGAGGCTTCTTGAAAGCCCAGGTCCTATGAAGCATACACCTTGAGTGAGCATACTGAAAAACCTAGGTTTGGTGGGAAGAAAGGGAAAGCAGTTAACTTTTTTTTTTTTTAAACCCAAAATATACCTTTCTCTAACAGGGAGGGATTACAAACAAGCAACAAATCTTATTTCCAAGAAACAGCTTGTTTGGTGCCAACTGTGCTTGCTTAAATTATAATTCATGTAACTATTTCTGCTTGCTTTTGATTTGTGAGTTCTGATACATGGAAATACAGCTCTTAAATGGTAATTTCTTCCCTGTTTAGATTATAACATAAATTGCAAAAATCAGAAAAGATGCGTTAACATATCAGATCTACTATGGATAAAAATATGGATAAAAATACAGTTTCTATAAGTTTTCACATTCATCAGAACTACAATGAGATAATCAAGTGTTTCTCCTGCTGCTTCTAAACAACAATTCAACACTGGCAGCCTGAAAGCAACCTCAAAGAATTAACCTAATGTTTTGATCATCTACTATCCATCAGTTCCTTTACAATTCAAGAACTGCTGGGCAATAAAAAAAAAAGCATTTCAGACAATTTCAGCTGTTTCTGGTAGCATTAGACAAACACCTAAGTACAACTGTTCCTGATACTTACCTCCACCTTTTAGCTACTTTTTATTCAGTAACAGCTTATGATCACTCTTATTATCTTTGAATTCTTTCCTTTCATAGATTGCTATGGTGATGCTACCTTATAAAAGAACATACCTGGATGTTGTGTGTCACAAACCCCAAACACAAGGATCAGACCTTCTGTTGAGACAAGAACAACTCCATAGGTTGCAGACATCTTCTGGCACCACTGCCATTACCACCATTTAATCCAGAAAATCAGTGCCACAATTATTTTAATTAGAGACAGATATCAAATATTTGTGTTTTTTTTTTTTTCCTTCCCCCTTCTCAGCCTTTTTTTTTTTTTTTTTAACCTTAGTTTCAAATTATTAATGGCTAAAACATCAATACTCTCCAATTACAAGCTGGTAAAGTTTCAGTTTGATGCCTGGTAAGGTGCTGTGGGTACTCAACCTGAAATACAGATACAAAATGTAACTGAGGTATATTATTAATTACTGAAGTAATATTGGTTAGAGTAACTCATATCACAAATTACTTTCTCAAAAGAAGTTACACAGCACCAAGTCAAATATATTGTAGAAATCATAATACTGTGTTGCTAGGTGAGCAACAGAACACGCGTGATTTTGAAGAGCAAACTAAAATCCCCATTGCAATTGGTGTATTTCCCATAAACCAGAGCAATCAGATCTTGTGTAATGCTTCCTTCAAAAAATTCTCCCTAAACTCCTGTCAGTGGACATTGCATCACACTTCTTTCATTAATCAAGCAATGGAGTCCTGTGTTGTCTTGTTCTGCTTACAATTGATGGCTGTAAGCTGTCGATTCATAATTCTGTTGTTCCAATCAAAACATGAATCCCAAATCAAACTCAGATGGACATGAAGATACTAATTACTATGAGCACCAATAAGAGGTGGTCATTTCACTGGATACTGAGCACGTTTAAATGCGCTTTAGAAGGTCAACAAATTACTGAAAGTTCCTCAAAATGCCAAGGGAAACAGAAACACTATTAAACTGAGCAATCAGTTCAGTTTAAAGATGACCAAATATTTCAGTGTTGAATTTGGCAGTCTAGGTGGATGAGATAAGAGGTACACTGAGAAGATTTCTATCAAGATACATTTAAAAATAAGGTAGTAACTGTGTAAACAGAATTTGATCTTCTGAACAAGAACAGAGCTAACAGTGGAGTTGACAGGCCACGTGAAGTAAGGGAGACTACAAGAATGAAAAGTCCTTGCTGCGATGCACTCATTTACTGATTAATACAAATCTTTCAATCTTAAGCATTCCTAAAAGAACAGAATTACTGTTTTCCCAGCATCCATTACATCCTACTGTTGTTTCCATCATTATTTTTTATTATAGACCCATTTTAAGATTTGCAATTAAGATGTTAAAGTAAGCTGTTACAATAATGAGGTATACTGAGTTCCAGTAGAAAATACACAGGCAAGTATCAAGTCAAAGACTACACAACTTCAAAAAAAATGATAATTTGCCTTCCTCCTGTAACTCATTTGTGATCTTAGAAGTAATGAAAATGCAGTGCATACATTAATCCTTAAACTGATCATGCATGAATATTACAGACAGCTTTCTGAAAAATTAACAAGTCAACAGACACTGGCTGTATAACATTTTTATTTTACTATATTGACATTTTATGCACAAATATTTTAGAGTAAAAATAACTGTTTCATGTAAAATTACCAAAAAAAATGAAAAACACAAAACAAATACATAATTATCAGCAGAGTATAAGTGTCTTTATTTAAAGAGTAAAAAGTATGCAAAAACCTTCTCTTTTACAAAAAATTTGGGAATATTCTTTCTATCTTTTCATCTGGCAGCATCAGAACAACTCTCAACAATATATTCTACATCCTTTTTTCACTGAAGACATCAAGTTAGTCACAGGTTTCTCCCTCAACTACAGAAAATATGACAGTGATTCTATACTGTTTGAAAGATTTCTTCTTTGCTAAATTAGAACAAGGTGGAAAAGTATATGATCAAAACAACCCAAAGAACTGTTTACCTACTGAAAAACTACAAACTAACAAGCAGATGTATTTACAAATCAAGTGTGATATCAGAACTTTCCCCTAGAGGGCTTACCACATACAAAGAACATTCAGGGGGATAAATAACTGATATTACATTTCAACTTCAGTTTATCCTACTGCAGTCCAGTTAGATGTAGTAATTTTTTTTTTTTTAAACTTCTTTTTTTGTACTGTATTTTAACAAAGAGGCTTTTCATGAACTCTACTAAATAGAACTAGTGACTTGCATTGGACTTCTGTTTAGTAAAGGCATGATGTTATATACATAGTTGCTGCCACTGAACTATCAGCTTCACCTTACTCTTCGTAAGCAAATCTACACCTATTTGCATAAGTCACCTCAAGCACTTGCCAATAGGTGGAGTTGGACTATTTTAACAGCAAAAGTGGATTGATGGTTGACTTCTAGTGACAGACATACCTTGCTCATGGCTTAGAAGATTTCATTTAAGAAAAGAAAGTCAACATGCTTAGTTGATGGAGTACTTTAAGCGCCCAAGAATGAAAACAATATTAGGGGTTGATGAAAAGATCTGTCAAGAAAGTGTTATAGTTATGGAAGTAATAAAAAGGTAAACTAGAAACGCATGCAAGTTTTTCAATTAATCAAAAGCTATCTGCAAATGAACACGCACCTACAAAGCAAACAGCTTTGTCCTCAACCCGTCTTTAAAATAAAGATGAATATTCTGTTTTCTGTCCTCTGACTACCAGTAAGACCATTCCTTTTTAGCCTAAGAACAACAACCCAGTACTCCCGCTACTCACCATGTAAGTACATTTTATATTTAGAAAGTCTCTGTACAAGCACTTTTTATTTAAGGTTTAAGGGTAGCTGAAGTAAAAGGTTTTCCCTTAACCATTTGCATTTTAACTAAATGTGAAATGTTAGTGGGAGCAGGGTGCTCAGTTATAAAAAGTTAGGAAATATGCCTTATAACAATTACAATGTTTAATGACACGAAAGGGCAGTAATAAAACCATACTATTTTCAAACATCAAAAGAAACAGTCATAAGCGTAGAAGCTCAAACATTGCAGTCTACTTTTTACTGCACTTTTGTATGAATTTCTCTCTATACCAGTGTCTCAAAATTCAAAATATATTCCAAGTATTTCTATTCATAATCCATACTTCAAATTGTACCCAGCTCTGGAGCACGCATTTGGCTTATGAAGCTTCAGAAACATCATTTGAAGTTCAGAAAGAAATTAATTTTAAATAAAAATTACACATCTTTGCACTTTTATATAAGTCATTCTGTACAATAATTTGGAAATTAAATTTCAATTCTCTTTAAAACTATTTTCAACTTGCATTTTGTTTCTAATGAGCAAGGGACTAATGACTGTGATTAACTTAGGTCTTCGGTCACTAGGGTTGACTATCATGCAGGCATAAAGCACCTGGCAGAACAGAGCATAAAAACAAGCAAACAAACAAAACCCACCTGCAGACTACTCTTTGGGTGAGGGATATTTTTTTCAAGTTTTCAAATCACCTGATGGGAGAATGGTGGGGGAAGTAGTTTTGTTTTATATTACATGGCTAGCATCAACAAGGTCTTTTAACAGGTTAGTACTTGCCCTCATAAATACATATTACAGTGAAATACTCGTAATTGGCTTTTCATCTAAGCCAGATCTAAACCTGGATCTCCTTCTTCAGCACAGATCTTCAGTTCTGCCTACTCTTAGTTTCCTTTCTTTATAAACACAGAAGTTATTTGAGGAACCCAATGCTTTGTCATGTTTGGTGTGCCTTTCAGCTCTGCTTGATTAGGTAAGAGTAATGAACATTTAAGGTTCATTTAAGTTTAAAAGCATCAAATTCAACTTGGTAGCTCAGCAGAGAACAAAAAGCCAGAAAGAACCCAATCCAGACAACTGATCAGCCTGCGTTTACTTCATTTTTGTTAAAAAGCACTGCAAAAATGATTTTGTAGAGCTGTGAACGCAGAATGCTGACCAGTTCAACTTTTTTTTACCCATTTTAGGTTGTATATCATAGAGTCCCTGACTCAAAGTTGCAGAAGTTGTGGTGATCTCTTAACTTACACTGAAACATATGCTGCTAAAAGATCCAAATTTATGTAAGTCCCAGTTCTTTGTAAAAAATCATGCATGGTATTGTATTGTGAAGAAAAAGAAGCAGCTTCCATTTCAGACAAATGTAAAGCAACTTCTCTGGCTATATAGGAAAGGCCATGGGTTCCCACTTTCAGGTCCTACTTAATTATCTTTCTCTGTTTGCAGGGATGCAGTAGCTAGTGCTACTGCTGTAACTGGCTGCGCAATGCCATGAAGCTGCATCTTTGCTAGTTTCTTTTGTTCGCATTCTCTGACCAACCGATTCAGCTCTGCTGCGCTGTATCCGATGAGAGTTTTCAAGTCACACACAAATTTGTAGACAAACCTCTTGCCTTGCACTTTGCATATCATGTCTCCATCATAATAGTATCTGTAAAAAAACAAAAACAACAAAACAAACAAATTAAGTTCTCAGAATCTGTAACTTCCACACACGAGTCATTTACTTAAAGACACTTGGATGCTGAAATAAGAATCTTTCACATTAAGATTCTCATGTAATTTTATGTATCAAGATAAACTTTGGGTGTTTTCTTTCACGAGAAAAGGAAGAGAGTTGAAAGCTGTCCCTTGCACTCTGATGTACTAAAGGGAAACAAAGCAGTAATTTTATAAGCTGTATAAAGCACCAAGTCCATCATTTCTAAGCTGGACCAGTTCAAAAACAGCTTGTGGTTGGAGAAGTAGGGATGGAAGTTTACACAGTGCTTTGCCTTAGTAAGAAGGTATTATCTCCTCCCTCATTATTGTCTCTTGCCTTCTTTGCTCATCTCTGCTTTCCTGAGATAAACAGTTTATGTTTGAAGCAGCCTGAAAATCAGCACTGGTTTTTACAGTATTAAACAGAATAGGAAGAAAAAAGGTAAAGATATTTCTCTTTGAACAGCAAGATCAATTTAAGGAACGTTAAAAAAAAAGTTAAGTAAAAAGACTTCCTATTTTCCCCTAGTCCTAGAAGACAAAAGGTAAGTTCCTAAGAATGTAACCAAATTTCGTGCCATACTATAAACAATCAAGTTAGAGTTGAGGGTATATGACAACACAGTCTAATCATATGTGATAAGATATATGTTGAACACGTTTCTAGTTAAGCATTTGCCTATCCAAAAACCACAAGCATAATTCTCTAAATACCAATGC